TTGCGTCGCTGAGTTCCAATGAGTTTTCACGTAAAAACACAAACAAAGCGGCCCTTTTCAGGGCCACCACACACTCCAAAAAGAGAACTACCATAACAAACACACTATTTAAATAAATCGAACGCGTTAGTTTTTGACAAATAAAACTTTATTGTTGACCCCGTTCTTGGCTAAAAATCACCCTGGGCAATTAACCGAGGATGTCCCCAACATGTAACTTTTGTGAAAACTGGGTGGGCGCTTGCCCAGGGAGGGGCGCGTGCTCGGGGTAATACAGTAGTATTCATATTAACTGAGGACCAGAGCTTAGTTGATACATGTCAGTATAGTGTGGGTTTATCACTTGATACCATACAGTGTAAACCTAACACGTAGTAATCTTTATTATAGCTGCTGGTGTGATAGATTTAACCAATGAAGGTGATGATAAAGCTGATTTACGAAGAGCTATTGCATTGAGTTTACAAGAAACACAAACACCTTCTGCTAATATTGGTGTATCTGCAGAAGAACAAGATATTAGTAGGTAGGAATTGTTTTCTGTATTTTACTATTTAGCTCCTTTTATGCAGAGCACAAGGAAGGTAATCAGTTTGGTGTGTCCGTCTGTGTCAGCAAAGTCTCAAACACTTCTGAGCAGAATTTGATGAAATTTGGTAATGCGCAGACAAGATTAGTTTTTGGGTCATGTTTGTGCATATCACGGTAATTAGATAATTTGCATTTGTAAAAGAAAAATCTCAAATACTTTCTGATTTTGATCAAATTTAATACATAGGTACTTTAGGGATAATGTGCAGACATGATTAGTGTTGGAGCTATGACATGTCATGCATATTATGTACAAATGTAGCTAATTTGATAATTGTCTCGTTTCAGTTTTTGTAAGCAAAATATCCTAACCTCTAATTCCATTACTCCTTTACTGTCTGTTGAAAATTTTCATTTCTTGGATATTATTTTATAAAACAACAATGATTGCATATTTTCTATCACCCTAATGCCATAAGTTACAGCGTGCCGTAATTTTGTGTTTTTTTACGGAGTATTTTCATTCTACCATATTAGGAAATGCAAATTTCAAATGTGGAATGATTACGTGCGTAAGCATCCACTAATAATAAAAACAAACATGGCTGCCACCAGAGTTTATCCGGACTCCACACAAAGAAGTTCGCTGATTCTGTTCTAAACATTTTGGATTTCGGCATTCCCATGGTGTATCCTTGGAAGGAAAAGATGTATAATAATAAGGTTATTACGAGAATACCTCAAAGTATGCACTCAGACAGTACGCCATGCATTGACCTCAACTGTGTGTCTGTCGATACTCTAGCTATACTGTCTTTGTGCATACTTTGAGGTATTCTTTTAATAACCTTGTATTCATACAAGTGTTTTGTGGAGTTTAAATTTGATGTAGGGAATACCACTACACATGTTCTGTAGAATATTCACAATACTGTGAAATACTTTATTTTTAGCTGGAATTAATTTTCGCTGAAAAACTTTTTTGATTTTTATGTGGATTTTATTTTCACTGATTTTTGAAGAGTGGATAGTAAAATATAGGAAAAAAAGTATATTCGCTTGATTTTATAGCGAAAATTAATTCCAAGTGAAAATAAAGTATTTTACAGTAGATGCTTTGTGGGGAATACAAATGCACATTTCCTGTAGAGAATATTATTAGAGATGTTTTGTAAATATTTGTGATGATTAGTTTATTGAAATCTTTTAATGTCCAGGGCTTTAGAGGAAAGTTTAGCTGAAACTAAACATGGTGCTAAGCGAAAAAGAGGTGAAGGATGGTTTGTTGACCCTCTCAATCCACATGAAAGACAGAGAGAGAATGGTTGGCCTGTTGGATTGAAAAATGTTGGCAATACCTGCTGGTTTAGTGCAGTTATACAGGTAAGATATGAGTGGATTGAGGAATGTTTTCTTACATGGAATGCAGTGTCAAACAGCCCCCTAAATTCAAATATATTTTCCAAGATAATTTTGTTACCAAACAAAGTACATAAGGTATATAAAAAGTGTTGTAAGTTGTATGTGTTTTTTTTTTTTCAGCGAATAGAACACATGATTCAAGTATTATAATTTGTGTTGCTACGAACCTTGATGGCTTTACTAATCTATTTTTTGTTTTTTTCCATAGTCACTGTTTCACCTTCCTCTGTTCCGTCATTTAGTATTAGAATTCAAACCTATTCATCCAAAACTGGAAAATGCCACAACTCCAGAAGACATTGTAGTAAGTAGTAATGGTGTAGACTTGTCATTTCCATTCATATTGATAGTGCAGGGAACAACACTGTCTGAAACATGCATTGTTATACATGTACCAGCATTTCTAAATATCATACTGATTTGGCAAGAGTGTGTTTTTAATTTTGCAAGACATGGTTAATTTGTGTTTGGAGACAGACCTTAAAAGGATTAAATCCTGTTGTCAACTGAAATCAAAAATATTATTTTGCACTACAATCACAATTTGATATCTTGATAATCAGTGTATTTTAGTTCCATTTCATTTAATCATGGTTGAAAGTGGAAAGTTTCAGATACTGTATCACATTTGTACATGGTGTTGGTATTTTAAAATTATTTCTGTCTCAGAATTATATTTAAAATGAAGTTAGTATTTGATGTAATAGGATTTTTGCTGGTTATGCATTCATGTCGTGAATAGTGCAACTACTACTCATAGACATTATTACACTATTACCTATGGTCACACAGCTTTAAAGTGTAAATTGCAAGTGTCTGTATACAAATAAAATTTACAGAAAAAATATACATTATAAGTAGAGACGTTTTTTCCTTAAGTTTATATGACATTCGGAAAGAAATTACCTTCGAGATATTGCCGAAAACCGGCTCTTTGTGAGAAATCTCGAGTACTCGACTCGATAATTTAGATTGGTACGTAACGAAACCGGTGAATTCCACCGCATGCTTTGATTTCTAGATTAATCAAAATTGATTATCAAGTTTTTATCGCAGATATGGCTTGGTGCCTTTTGTCTTAGATCGCCACAACTAGCTGACCACCTAACGTTTTCATTTACGAAAATTAAACTGAACGTTGAGATGCCTTGTAGTGAAACCAAATGCTACGATCTCAGAGCTATGCTATTTTAGTCTTTATCGCTTCTAAAACATTGTTCACTATTCATGTGTCTCGAAATCATGAATTTTATTTGAAATTGAATCGTTCATTTTGTCAACACTAATCACTGATAAATATAACAAGTCATATTTGGGTACTCCTAGCGTTATACCACAGTCCCTCTATCACTGATTATACGCGTGCAATGTACATGTGTTATTGTACCAATTCTATTCATTTTTTTCCTTCATGCATTTGGAATCTAATCTTGCCTGCTTAATAAACTGGGAATAACTCGTGAAATTCGACAAAAAAACTACTAGCACGATACCTTTAAATTACTTATTTGCTAAAGTAATATTGAATTTTGTAATTTGTCAACCATTATATATTGTCATTAGCTACAATAGCTATGAAATACAATCATTGTAATACATGTATACGCCCTCTTTTCTTGATAATTGTTAAAAAACAACAAACAAACGAACTGTAATAAACATTGAATTAAAACCAAATGTGTTTTTATTTAGGTGTAATTGTGGTGGACGATGCCAAATATTGCCTACAGTAAAGGAATGTGTATGCTGTAGGGAGATCACTGTTGTTGATGCCAAGTGTTTAGAAGCAGTGTTTGAATTTGGTTTAAAGAAAGATTGCAATGCATCACGCAACATTCAGGCTTCCAATGTGTTAGTTTGAACAAATGTGTGCTACAAACTGCCTGGTTTCAATACAGGCAGCAATATGACACCCCATTTGATGGTCCTGACCATGAGAGATATCGACATACTGCCTATCGTCAGCTTGCAAGATGGTGTTGGGGTTTTTTAGGAAAAAGTGTCCGTGTAGTTCTTTCTGCTTGTGCTGTTAGTTGCGTTCGTGCTCATTTTCCACCACCAGGTCCTGAAGAAAATG